TTTCATCAAATCATTAGTGAAAGAAGGCGTTTCGTTGCCCGTTCTCGAAATAATCCTCGTCTGAAGTAAGTTTACCCCCCCCCCCCCCCCCCCCTCTTGCACGAAGCGAGGAAGCTTTGATGTTTCATTAAAGTATTAGAGAAAAAAGACGATTTGTATTACCATTCTCGACTCTTAATCCTTATCTGAATTCAGTGCACCCCCCTCCTGTGCGAAGCGCGGAAGCTTTGACGTTTCATTAAATTATTAGAGAAAGAAGACGATTCGTTGTACCATTCTCGAAAATAATCCTCGTCTGAATTCAGTTTCCCCCTTCCCGTGCGAAGCGCGGAAGCTTTTTACGTTTCATTAAATCATTTAAGAAAGAAGGCGATTTGTTGCCCGTTCTCGACTCTTAAACATCGTCTGAATTCAGTTTCCCCCTCGAGCGCGATATGCGGAAGCTTTGACGTTCCATTAAATTATTAGAGTAATAAGACACTTCGTTGTACCGTTCTCGAAAATAATCCTCGTCTGAATTCATTTTACCCCCCCCCCCCCCCCCCGTCCGCGCGAAGCGCGGAAGTTTTGACGTTTCATTAAATCATTAGAGAAAGAAGACGATTCGTTGTATCGTTCTCGACTCTTAATCCTTGTCTGAATTTAGCACCCCCCCCCCCCCCCCCCCCCCTCCCGCGCGAAGCGCGAAAGCTTTGACGTTTCATTAAAATTATTAAAGAAAGAAGTCGATTCGCTGTACCGTTCTCGACTCTGCTCAAGGGTTTTAGTCACTAAATTACGGTCGGATGAGTATTAAGGGGCCCGCCTTAGGGCCTTCGGTTGGGTCCAGGGCCAGAGCCCCGGAAGCTCAGGGGTTTTAGGCGTTTAATTACGGTTAATACCTTATTTTGTTGTGAAACTGGCAGTAATTTTTTTTTCTTTCTAGCTCTCTTTCTTTCCATTTCTCTTTATATACTATTTCAAAAAAGTGGAGGGGGAGAGGGACCTCGAGGCTCCCGATCCCCGCCGTTCCGCGGGCCCTGACGTGTAGGCCCCTAGGCATCTCAAGAAGCATATTTCTTGCCTGGCTGTAAATTTAGAAATTTGTCTTTTTACAACAAACGCATAAAAAAGTATAATGCTAAAAATCTCGGAAAATGATGTCATTTCAGCATTATGTGTAAACCACCGTTATGTAATTAGAAATAAACCACGTTTGAATTTTCCTTCCCTTTATCTCCTCTTCAGTGACTGGTCCTCAGAAACTAGTGCTAAGCCAGTCACAGAGAATTCATGATTTCATCTGATGCCTGTCAGTGCATTGTAAATTAGATTTTTCTTCAAATTCCATTTAAAAATCTTTTCATATTTTATAAATATGGTGCATTGGCATAGGGGCTATGGTTGGAGAGTTGGATGCGTTGAACAGCATTGGTGTATTATGTGGATTTATCATATTCATATTCTGAATATTTTCAGCGAATTGAATAATATTGAAAAGGATGCAATTCATAGTTGTACTTGATAATTCACACTTAACATATTCTCTCTCTCTCTCTCTCTCTCTCTCTCTCCCTGTCTTGCATAAAGAAAATATGAAAATAATATTTTACCTTGATTAAGAAAAGTTGAAAATTTTATCAATATTAAACAGGGAGAAGGAAAGGGGAGGAAATTAATCAAAACAAACATTGAAGAATCCAATTCAGTGTTCTTTAGTGATGCATAAGAATGAAAGTACATTAAAAGGTGAAATAATAAATTGAAGAGCGATGATAAATCAATTCTTTGACATAGATTGATTGAATAAAAAAGATGAAACAATATGGTCTGAAGGTCATATATCTTCGAATATTAGAAAGTTTCATCCACCATCGCGTCGTTGAACACTATTTGCAATTTCATTTTAATGCGGTGACTTGTCGGTTACGAGCAGAAGGTCATTTCAGGCTTCTATATTCTATAATACTATCTACAGATATCTGGATAGAGACACTTCGTCACATCAAGCTACGATAAAGTATATCATCATCTCACAGAATTCTACTCGAAATTCTTTTCACCTTTTTTTTCTTCTTCCTCTATTTTTGGTCCCTTTTAGCTCTCACTTTTCCCTTTTCCTTCCTTCTCTCTCTTTCTTTTTAATAGCGGGGGCGAGGGGAGGCAAAGGCCTTTAGCCCCACCCCCATCCGCAACTTGTTGGCGGGAAAATTGCAACTGATATCCCCCTTCTTTTTTTTACTTCTTCCTCAATTTTCCTTCCCTTTATCTCCTCTTTTCCTTCTTTCTTTCCATTTCCTTTTTTCCTTCTCTCTTATTTTGTTTTATTGGGGGGAGGCAACAGCCTGGGAGGCAAGGCCATTTTGCCCCCCCCCCCCCCCCCCCCGATATCCTTCTTCCCCCTTTGTTTTCTTCTTCCTCTTCTTTCTTTCCCTTTCTCTCCTCTTTCCCTTTCCCTTCTTTTCCTTCTCTCTCTCTTTCTCTCTCTCTTTCTCTCTCTTTTGTGGAAAGGGGGGGGGGAGGGGCAAGGCCCGCTCACCCCCGCTGGATCCGCGCCTGCATCTACCTTATATCTACTAACGTTAGACCCTAATAATGGATCTAGAAGATTGATTGACCTGGTCTCAGTGACGGGTAAACTTTTTTGTTCTCAATTACTTGGTCTAACCATGAAAACCGTCTAATTTTACTTTAGATTTTCAAACAGTAACAGTTACGACCTAAATTAGGCCTAAGGCCAAGGGCTGTACTCTACATTTTAATAACAAATTAACGTTAACGTTAAACTTAACTTAAACTGTTGTTTCTCTGTGATACAAGTGGGAAAGGAACACTTCTTTTTTCAAAAAAAAGATTAGAAAATTCCCCTTTTTGTCCCCCTTCTTTTTTCCCAGGGGGCGGGGCGGCCCCCGCCCCCCCCCCTGGATCCGCCACTGATCACGGGGATAAAAGTGTACAGCTATGTAACAAGTAAATTTCTGAGAGGGAGAATGCCGACTTAAATAAATGATAATGATAAAATACCAAGGAATTTAGGAGTTTCATGGGTACCAATCCAATGGAAATTTGTTTCAAAATAAGAGCCCCCGTCAGAACTAATAGAGACCCCGTGAGAAGGTTCACGGGGGCTATTTTTTTTTTGGAAGAGCCCCCGTGGACAAAAATTTAATTTGAGCCCTGGTGGGGAAGGGATTGGAGACACCCTAAGGGGATCCGATATATTCGGCCAACCATCACCTCAATACATGCCCGAATTTACTATTTTCATATATCTAAGGTGAAGAATTTTGAAAAGGTAGTTACATTTTTAATGCAATCAACATGTGTTTGTTTGTTTTTTTTGTCTCGTCCGCTTCGCTCGCTTGTCCACTTATGATGATAACTTGGGGGCGTAATTTCACTGCTTGCCCCCGGGCGCCAAAATACCGAGATGCGCCACTTGCTGGATGATATTTACTGTCTAGATTCCAAACATGCAATCCCATCTTTCTATCACCCCCCCCCCCCCTTCCCCCACCCTTCTTCTTTCTTCTACACTTTCTTCTTCCCCCTCTTTTCTTTTCTTGGCCACTACAAGACCATACAATTAAACAGCGTTAAAAGTGTCTGTTAAGCGTTTTACTGTCTCTTAGAGATTTATGCTAAGAATGCCGTTTTTCTTCTTTTTAATTCCTAGATGGAGTGCGTGGAAGAGATATGTGCGAATCCCAGTTTAGAGGACATCAGAAAAGAAATCGACGAAAAGGACGTCGAGTTTGTCCGCTTCGAATTCGGCGACCTCCACGGTATTGCGAGGTCAAAGATCATACCAGCACGTCACTTCCGGGAAAAGTCATGCAAAGGTATCAACATTCCGATTGCGCACCTTGGTATGGACTGCCGAGGGAGCCCGGTAGCTGAGGCGAAATACATCAGCCAAGGGGATTACTGCGATGCAGTATGGACACCCGACTTATCGACCTTTCGAGTTTTGCCATGGTGTGACAACACGGCCAGGGTGATTTTAGAACCAACTCTGAAAGGAAAACCAGTTGATATGTTTCCTCGAACTTTGGCAAGGAAACAAGTGGGTCGCCTCACGAAGATGGGGCTGTCCTTGCTTACGGCCCATGAGCATGAGTTCTACATCGTTGACAGAAAGACAGGGCAGCCACTGACCCAAGATTACAACCTTCGAGCAACGGTGCGTAACTACACGGATCCTCTTCTGATTAGATCGCTTATGCAAGCTCTAACAGCCGTTGGTGTCGATGCGGAGATGATGGACACAGAGAAGAGCCCAGGTCAGGTCGAGATCACATACAAACCAGCATTCGGTATCCAGGCGGCAGACAATGCGTATACCTACAAGACAACTATCAAGGAAGTGGCGATGCAGAGAGGGTATGTGGCTAGCTTCATGAGCAAACCGTGGGCAGAACTGAACGGAAGCTCTGCCCATGTATGCCACTCCTTGTGGGACAGCACCCAGCAACGCCCTCTACTTTACGCTGAAGATCAACCCTTCGGCTTGTCCAAGATTGGTTGTCACTGGATAGCTGGTCTGTTGGTGCATGCTCCAGCTCTTAGTATCCTAATGGCACCAACCGTGAACTGCCTCAAGAGATTCGAAGCCAATTCATTCGCGCCCTACAATGTCACTTGGGGACTCGACAATAGAACCTGTGCGTTGCGTGTCAAGGTCGGCGGTGGCGCAGATACGTACATCGAGAATAGAATGGGTGCCAGCGGCAGCAACCCCTACCTCACCCTCGCAGCCACAATCGCTGCAGGCATCGACGGCATCAAGCGGGAACTCGTCCCACCGCAACCCATCGCAAACAACGCCTATCTTCCAGGCAATGTACCTGCGGACACCGCCATCTTGCCCGCGACCATGGACGAAGCTTTGGAAGCGTTTTCCCAAGATGACGTTATTAGGTCAGCTCTAGGCGAGGAGTTCATGAATGAGTTCTGCGTGCTCAAAATGCATGAAATGAAAGAGTACAATGAGGCGAAGCTAAAACAAGACTCTAAATGGGAGTATAAGATGTACTTTGAATACATCTAAATCTTCCTTAAAAAGGGGGCACTTATTCGTAGAACAGAATATAATACAATGAAGTGTCCAGTAAGCAGACAACACGAGATCATCGCAACGATTTTCGGAAAATCAATATTATAGATTTGATCATAAACTATAGTGAAATGTAGGCTTCTTACATTGCAGTGACGTATTACACAATCATGACGTAGCAGACATGAAAATGAGCCCCTTATTGTGTAACAGGTCAAAATCCTACTGTTTTATGATGAAATGACCTATTCAATATCGACTTATTTTTATCAATATCTAATCAATATCCCCACAGGGAGTGAACAGGAAGAAACGAAGAAGTTGAATAGTTTGCTAACTTGGTACTTTAAAGAAGTATGATTCACACATATTCTGAGTAAAAAGCTATGACACACTTGTCATTTAGTTTGAAAAAACACGACATTCCACAGCATTCCACAGCTATCCACTGAATCATGAACCCAGTGCATGGTTTTTCTTTTTCTTAAAGTGCATAGAGACATGCAATTTGCCTATTTGTTATGCGCTATATAAAAATGTTTAATTATTATTATTATTATTATGAGAAAGAAAATGACTTACAAACGGGTTACTTGGTCAGGAGTCAGCATCTCCCAATAGAGAGTGTAACCGTTATGATAGGGGTAAGAGGTGTTAGCTAGATTCACTCCTGCGCTGCACCCTCTATGAATCTGGCACGCAGAGAGGTCGTCTCGTCAAGCTTTAGCATAACATTAGGAAAGAAGGGGCTACATGTATTTTGTTTTGGGAAATTCTTTGATTTTTGTTTGTTTGTAATGGAATACTTTTAGTGCATTCAGGTTAATTTGTTTATGGTAAAGGAATCCTACTATTCATAGGTTGATCAAGGTGTTATGGTAATACTTTGTTTTGGAACAGTCCATACCCCTTTCATTTGTTATTTTTGCTGGTTAGATCTCCATCTAACCACAGGTTGATGACATACAGAGACACTGGTATTGCCTACATTGATAGGAGGGATTATCTTGTAGTATGTGTAGATCAGGTATGAAGCTCTAGCTTTTATAGCTTTTTCACTTTTTGAATAGTTGGAACATTCCTTCATTGTACTTTCAAGTTTAAATGAAGGTATGTTTAAACTATTCAAAATTGAAAAAGCTATCAAACTAGAGCTTCATACCTGGGCCCCGTCGCATAAAACTTACCATTGGTGGTAACTTTGCCATCAATGACGTCTACCATGGTATCAGGGCTCAACAGCCAATCAAAATATAGATTTCCATGGTAGTTACCATCAATGGTAAGTTTTGTGCAACGGGGACCTGCTCTACACATACTGTACGTAGTCCCTCTTATCAATATATGAAATTCCGGTGTCTTAGATGGAGATTATTTGTGCTGAAAAGATATGCATTTTGTAAGGTGTTGCATATTATCTGCTTGATCATCAGTAGGTTGATTTCTTTAGTGAGATAAATACTTGATTCTGATTTGGTAATAGTAATTTGAGGTGATGTGAATGTTATATCTTATATGTTCCTTCTAATATTTACGAGTTGTAGTTTTATAATGTGTTGTTGAGGTTAGCTCTGGATAAACATATTTGGTGAAACAGATGTACAGTAATATTTTAAGAGTTAAAGGTTTACGATCATAGTCAGTGGCTCGTCTTTAGATTTTTGCTTTAGAGTAAAATTCACAGTTTTTTAAGGTCTGTCCTCATCAGCTCGAGTTTGCCAAATAGCTCGCTATTTCTGATTTGGAAAATTAGCTCGCCAAAGTTATAAATCGCGTCTTCGTCGATAGATTTCTCATTCTTCGCGCATAGTGCGAGTCTTTTGGCTGGTGAAAACGCACCGGACAAATAGCGGGCTATTTTGCAAACTAGCCCAAAATATTGTGGGAATATTTCCCGAGCAAATAGCCCGCTATTCATCTGCCAAATAGCATGCTGTTCGTGATCGGGCTAATTTCCAGAATCAGAAAGAGCAGACTATTTGGCAAACTCGAGCTAATGATGACAGGCCAAATGATTTGTACCAATTATTATTCATTTAGGTATTGACATACAACGTGTAAGGAGGAGGGTACCATAAGAGGAAACGGTCCGCAAGGCCAGATTGTCAGGGTAAGTGGTAATCACATAAACCACTAACTCAATGTAGTTTGAATTCGAAATTATGTTTGATTGTTTGATAAAGTTCACTTGATAGCTGTATTTTTGTTGGGAGAGTTATCGACACAATAGAAGAACTTATTTGTGATTAATTACGGATTATTTCAATGAAATATTGATTAAGTTTTAATGAATAGAATATACACAACCTGTTTGTCATTTATTTTTATGAAACATGTCCTCAATTTTGTTAAATTATTTTAACTTTGTTTATTTATTCAGGTTTAGTTTGCTTGTTGTAACTTGCATATGAAATAAAACATCGAACACAAAGAATGGTGTGGCGTGTCATCAATTTATCAGTTTCCGCGTCTTACAATTAGATTGAATGTATATTTTGCTTTATTCAAGGAATATATTCTTTGGACTATACTAAAGATATATAAAGGGCAGGGGCGGCGGAGCGACTTACAAAGTGGGGGGCACCAACACAAAGGGGCACTTTCTGACAAAAAGGGCACCTACAAAGGGAAACATCAAGACGAAAATATACAATTTGTTGACATTGGTATATACGCCTGCCTTGCGATTGCATTATCAGGGATGATTTCAATATTTGTTTCTCTTCATACATTATACAAGATATCGTACTTTGCAGTTGGGTGTGATGGTCTGAATATTCATTAGCGAGCGAGAAAAAAATTATGATTTGTGAGGTAGCAGTGCAAAAGACTATATCTTATAAAGAGGAAAAACCCAATCCTGATGGATATAGGCACAGTTTCATAAGGAGAGACTGAAAAGACCTTTGATAAGTAAAATAATGATATCATCTATAAATGTGAGCAAGCGTAAGCGAGCGAGCTTGGGGGAAATTGCTATTAGTCACTTAAATTAGGGGCACGTTTAATGATGAGACGGAAAAGGGACACTTCTTACACCTGAAAAGAGGCACTCACCAGGGATGAAGAAAGGAACTTAAGAGAATGGGAAATGGTCATTTGTCGACGGAAAAGGAGCATCGATCATATTTTGATAGGGGCATTTATAAGAGGTGAAAGGGGCATCTATGAAAACGGGATAGGTCCCTTATAAGAAAGAAAAGCAACACGTAATATTGTCAAAAAGTAAATTATCAAAGGTGAAAATTGGCACTTATCGCACCTGAAAAGGGGCACTTATAATAAAGGAAAATGTGCATTTGTTGAAAGAAAAGGGGCACCGATCAAATTTTAATAGGGGCATTTTTTGGAGGTGAAGGGGGGCTTTTATGAAAAGGGGGAAGTGGCTCTAGTAAAAAAAAAATGAGGCACAGATTAAAATAAACGAGGCGCTTATCAGAGATGAAAACGGGTAATTATGAATAGGGGAAGGGATACTTATAAAGAGGAAAAGGAGCATTTATTAGAAAGGACAGGGTCACGTGTCAAAGTAAAAGGGGCAGTTATTAGAGGTACAAAGGAGCACTACAAAGGAGCACAGATATGAATAGAGCACTTGTCAAGAGGAGAAGGGGCACTTTTCAAAGTAAAAATAGCATCTCTCAGATTTGAAATGGGGCAATTATCGGAGGTGAAGGGGGTAGTTATCTGAAGAGAAAAGGAGTAACTTCTCGTACCTGAAAAGGGTCATTTACAGGAGATGAAAAAGGGCACTTATGAGAGTAAAAAGGGGGCATTTATGAGAGACGGAAAGGGGTCTTTTTACTTCAAGTGGGGGCACTTATCATAAAGAAAAGGGGCACATGTGAAAATAAAAGGTGCGCTTATCCGAGTTTAAAAGGGGTAGTTATTAAAGGGGAAGGGGCGGCACTTCCTACAGAGGGAAAGGAGCACTTCTCATATTTTAATAGGGCAATTATCAGAGATGTAGGGGCACTTATCAAAAGTGAAATGGGGCACTTCTTGTACCTGAAAGGGGGCACTTACTATAGAAATTAAAAATGGCACTTAGAAGAGGTAAGGGGTAGGTGTCTGGGGTGGTTGACTGGGGGTGGTTATTCGGGGGGGGGTCCGGATACGCATTGTTGTATGATAAATGTGCGACTAATAGTCGGCGTATATATATGCTTCTGTGGTTCTGTGGTTCAGATTAGTTAATTTTGTTGCCTTTTCTAGAACTCGAATCTAGATATTTACTAGCATAAATACTTCTACGTGTTAAAAACAGTCTTTAGAATGTAAAATATGCACAAAATGTTTATTTGATTAATAGTATTATTGTTCAGTTACAATGAGCTAATGTTATGAGAATTGGAGTATGACTAATGCTACTGGCATTAATAATGTGTGTTCTGCTTGATCACTGACTGCAGCAACACTAATGCGCTAGTCACTAATTAGAATAAAAATGCTTTTGCGATCAATCACGAATTTAAAATGTTTAGATAAATTATATAGAAAGTATTTCATTTACACATATGTGTATATATGAATAGTGGAAGGATGTACAATTTCATTTTAGTTTGTATTTGGTTATAAAATCTTCTATTCCATGATTTGGTCGGTAAATTGCAAGAATACTGGTGTGCTGAAATGTGCAATACCCCTGTTCGTGGTAGACCTATAATGCAATGATGATATTTATAGGCCCCGTTTGTTAGAACGAAGTATATCTTTCTCGCATTCTCTTTCCCTTCCCTCTCTCACTCTCTCAATCCATCTCTCTTCATCCCTCCGACTCTCCCCCCCTCTCTCTCTCTCTCTCTCTCTCTCTCTCTTTCTTTCTCCCAAATCTCTTCCTCATCTGCTTCGTTGTTTCCCCTGCTCACGAATAACTCTAGGTATATCGTTCTTGACCAACTGACCACTAATCAATTTAGTCAAATAATTGTCCTGAATTTTTCAGAGAAAATTCAGTGACATTTTCTATTTGGGAATACAACATCCTATCAAAAAAGTTAACACCCAAGTGACTATCGTTAGCGTGAGGTTTGCAGATGTGATGCCCATCACAATAAACGAAACAAAAATATATACGAATTGGAAATACGTAAATTTTGCATTATTTTGTACCCTGGAATTTCTGCTGACCAAGTCAAAGGAGATACCGAAGGACCTATACACATCAAACATACATGTGTTTTCATGATAGTAGAATCACAAACTTGGACATAAAATTATAAATAATATTAAGGTAATGGCAACAAGTATACTAACTTATACTTTTTTTTACATTCTTTAGCATAAAAGCCATATGGATTTTGTTGTTTTATTGTTACCGTTACTGGTATGTATGTTATGGTTTTAATTACCTCACGTTAATGCAGACACGCTGATTATTAAGTAGCTAAATATATCTTGAGAATGTACCGTAGGTGAGATCACCTGTATCTTTCGGCGTCATTTTGTCTACTTCATTTCATAAAATGTTGAGGCGTTACCTGCAGAGCAGCTGTTGACCTCTCTCTCTCTCGCTCTATCTCTCTCTCTCTCTCTCTCTCTCTCTCTCGTTCACGCTTACTCACTTTCTCTATGCGTGAAGGTGATTTATATCGCTTTGTGATATTCATATCACAGCGTATGTATTTACTATGAATATATGATTATTATATTGAATACCATTTTTTACAAGTGTAACAAAAAATAAGTCTACAGTTGGTTCTTTTATGTTTGAACTGACCAGTAACACTTTGTGATATTCATACCACAGCGTGTGTCCTATGAATATAATTATGAATCATGTATTATATAGTGTACTCTATTTTCTACAAGTGGGATTTATTTTGTTCGGGTAGCGAGATCTTTTGCTAAGCTTGATGTATCATTTCTCTGCAGGCAAAAAATACGATGTATTGTTGGTTTGTAGAAAACAATAATAAAACATTAAATCACTGGTAACTTTCTTCGAAACGTAGTAGTGTTCGCCCCTCGCAAAAGAAAACCGCAAAGGTTGGAAAATCTCAATTCCTTTTCGTGTGTTATACTATATAATTTTTCCTTCGATTATCCATAATGCCTTGCGAAATCTGTATTCACAGGCTTGGGTGTCTTTAAAATCGGCCTAAAACCTCATGCTCCCAATAGCTATCACCAAATCTATGGGTAAAATTTCTTCAGATATTGGCATTCGTATGAGCAGATAAAGAATCAGTCAACGTCC